TTAAGGCTGGTTTTATAAAGTGTCCTTATGAACATACACTCTTTGTTAAGATTGGTGATGAAGGAAAAATGCTTATTGTTTGCTTATATGTAGATGATCTTATATTCACTGGAAATTGTGATGTTATGTTTGAAGAATTTAAAAAGTCTATGATGAATGAGTTTGAAATGATTGATCTTGGTATGATGCATTACTTTCTTGGCATAAGTGTAGCACAATCAAGTGATGGAATTTTTATTTCTCAAAATAAATATGTGGAAGATATTCTAGACAGGTTTCAGATGAAGGATTGTAATCCTGTGCACACTCCAGTTGAATGTGGCTTGAAGTTACATAAAGATCATGGAGGAAAGAAGGTTGACAGCACCTTCTACAAACAAATTGTGGGAAGTTTGATGTATCTCACTGCAACAAGACCAGACATAATGTATTCTGTGAGTTTAATTAGCAGGTATATGGAAAATCCTACAGAAATACATTTGTTGGCTGCCAAGAGAATCCTTCGCTACTTGCAAGGAACAAGAACTTTCAGGATATTTTACAAGAAGGGTGTAAAATCTGATTTAGTGGGATTTACTGACAGTGATTATGCAGGAGATCAAGATGACAGGAAGAGCACATCAGGTTATGTTTTTATGATTGGTACAGGTGCTATTTCTTGGGCATCGAAGAAGCAACCAATTGTCACTTTATCAAGCACAGAAGCTGAATTTGTTGCTGCTACAGCTTGTGCATGCCAAGCCATTTGGCTAAGGAGAATTCTTGAAGAACTTCACTTCAAGCAAGAAGGAGCAACTTTAATTTATTGTGACAATAATTCTGCAATTAAATTGTCAAAGAATCCAATTTTACATGGGAGAAGCAAGCATATAGATGTGAAGTATCATTTCTTAAGGGATCTTACAAAGGCTGGTATAATTGATCTTATTTTTTGTAGAAGTGAGGATCAAGTTGCTGATTTGTTTACAAAGCCTCTCAAATATGTTGCGTTTCAAAAGCTCAGGGGATTACTTGGCATATGTTCCATGGAGAAAGTCAAAGGATTTGGAGTAAACTGAATTTTTCAAGAACATCAGTTTAAGGGAAGGAATGTTAGAGTCTCTTTGTTTTTTGTCCGTTAGAAAATTCAATGGTCTTTTAAGTTTGATGTAACGGCCATGTGCTGCACTAAAGTTGTTTGATGAGTCTTAACGGTATCATAATGGGTCAGTTTTGGGTAGTATAATGAGTCATTAAGTTAGAGTTTATTTGGGTGTAATGTGTCTCTTAATGTTATGTTTTTCAGTTTTAGTTTCTGATTTATATTAAGTTTGAGTCAGTTTATGAAATTTGTATTCCCTCTTCAAACATTGTGAGTTATATTTCTGCATCTTAATTTTTCTCCAACAGTGGTATCAGATCCAATGATCTGGGCTGGGCCAAGTGTGTTTGGAAGGCCTCTGCAGAAGGCTAGTGTGACCCTAATATTTGAAGAGAAAAAAAAAAGACTTCCGCAGAAGTTGACCTTAGAGTAAGAATGATATTGGGTCTCACACTTGAGGGAGGATGTTGAAAATAATCAAGTATGAGTTGTAAAGAAGTACCACATAGACTAGACATAGACCAAGTGATGACCATATAAGTGTGAAAGACCCATAAACCTGCAGCCTTAAGGTTTTGGGTTAAGATGTGGTGTCGGCCCACTTATTATGGTTTGTCATTTGGCCCATTGGTGGATGTATCCTTTGCAAAGGGTTTTGGGCTCCCTCATTCCATTTCCCAACAATAGCGTTTGTATGGTCAACCATTTTAGTTGAGTAGCCCAACGAGAATGATAGAAATATGCTGACACGTGACAAAAAGTTCATGCATTCTCTTTGGGCAGTCCAGCAAGATTAGTCACTGAATAGCTTTTGCAGAGAATAACTGTACTTTTATCACGTGTCAGCATCCTATCATTGAGCTGCCAAGCTAGAATGGTTGATGATGTCAGATCTATTCTCACGAGATGACGTAGAATGTGACATTTATTTTGTAAAATAAAATTTCCTGACGTAACAATGACAAAATCGTCATTGTCCGCCTTATTGTCAAAACGAACACACCTGTCTCGCATGAACAGTAACAGTAACAGGTCTAACACCCTCTTACTGCAACCAAAAACCAATGATTCAATGAATCAACGTTTCCATGGAATTATTAGCTCACAACTGTACTGTCTTGTCACATTTACAAGTAACATAACTTATATTATTTTATTCTCATGAAGAAATGAGACCTACACTTTTATTTTTTTTGGTCAACTCCCGTTCTTTCTTTAAAATGACACAACTTTACATCCTTTAAAACGACACACACTCTACCCTTACAAGTAAGACACCTGATTCTTAATAATGACTCGTTCCAAACTAGAACTTGACTCTCATTTTTTTATCTTCAAAACTTAAAAAAAACAGTAACGCTAGTCCCTATATGGGGCCTTTTTTTATCTTTAAAACTCAAGCAGTGGCTTTAGTCATTAAGGATCAATTATGTAGTTTTGTCCCGCTGCTTCCTCTGAACGACAATTAAGCCTGAGCCGTCAATCAATCAAAACTAAAAAAAAAAAAAAAAAACCGATAAACCAAAATATTATACGAAAACAAAGACGACCTTGGAGTTTATATTACATTATATTATTATCATATACAGAGTGAATTACGTCATAATACCAATAAAAAATTTATCTGTTTCTAAGAATTTTATTACGGAAAGATTTATACTTACAAATGTTTTATTTATAAACTTTTATAAATTATGTTATATATTTTCAAAAATACACTAAACTACACTGTATACTTTCAAAAATATATAGTATAATTTATAAAAATTTATAAAAAAAAATTATAAACGAATCATTATCCTTTGATTACATTATTTATCAAGTTATCTAACATTGCATTAAAGTCGAGAACAGTGACCTAATTGTTATATTTTTAAAAAAAATTTATTAATATATCTTTCGAATGTTATTTTTTACCACACTGTAATATTTATAGCAAACTTAAATGAGGAGAGATATTTTTATTATCAAAATTTTTTATTACCAACTTACTACCTATCTAATCACCGTTAGATTAACATTTTCTCTCTCTTCAAAAACTTTTTAACATTCTTTCTCTTTGATCCAATGATGATTTGATGGGTAGTAAGTTAGTAGTGAAAATTTTTGACAGTTAGAATACCCCACTCAACTTAAATAAGCTATGTAATGTTTGCTAGACTTAATGTTTGAAAATTAATTTCAGAATTGATTTCTCTCTCTGCCCGACTCATGTGAGCCTGGTGCACCAAATATTTGCTCGTAATGTTTATAGCAAACTTAAATACATCACGTGACACATTATCAAATTTGCTATTAATAATAACAAATTTGATTCAGTCAACTTTTTCTTTTTTTTGCGAAGTGTACACAGTGTTGCGAAATTATAAGTAACAAAATTCATTATCACTAATAACAAACTTGATATGTTAATAAAAATGTGACACGTACTCTAACCAAATTCATTATAATTGATAACGAACTTGGACATGCAGGAGTCCGATAAAAAGTACCGTCGCGTGTCATTTAGAAAATTTTTTTTGAGAAAGTGCGACGTTTAGGTCACTGTTCGTTAAAGCCCACCGATCGGTCATCCTCGATCAGTTGGAGATCAAAAGCTGCAATGACCTGAGACCAATTGTGAAATTTTCAGGAATGAACTCCATTGCTGAATGCAGCAGAGTAAACTTTTAGATCAAACTGCCCAATTGGAAATGTAAAGGACTTATTATTTTATTAGAGATATAATATAAAACGTTATAATATAGAATGACTGATTATTATTATTTTTTAAATGTAATATAAAATTATTCATTATCTCAGTCCAATAACTCTTGAGTTTTGGCACACAAAAAAAATTAAACAATACATAAAGCTTCCATTTATTTTTTTAAATCCATCCAAAGAAACCAATAAGCCTTGTCATTACACTTTCGGTTAATGGCATGTGAATTGAATCAGAGCATGAAATATATCGATTCAACGGAGATGAAGAAAGCATGATAGAGTCAAAGAAGGTAGTGATATGGACCAATGCTCTAAGGTATCCGTGCAAGTCTCATTTGAACCGAGGATGCTAAGGAGGAGGTGTTTAAGGGCTACTAAGATGAATAAGTATGGAATAACAGAGTAACATTAATGGATTAAGTATGAAGAAGATTAATAGTGAAATAACCAATATCTCTTTATATAGGAGGAGATTGGAAATTACCTCCGAGTGGGCAAAGTTTGATTCATAATCGTTTGGGCCACACTAGGTGTAAGATTGTGTAACACATGACGTATAAATGATTATGCATACATTGGGCCACATTAGATGTAAGACTGTGTAACACACATAAGAGTCATATGTTCAAGGTGCCAATTGGTGGTGGTGGTGGTATTACCTAGCAGCTATTTGAGCTAGTTGTACTGAACCATCCGATCGGACCAGAATAACATAGTATCATAATGATCTAGAATTTAATCCTTACTGCATACTTTTTTAATAATAAAAGTAAATTTCAATACTTAACTTCATGCTTCAAACCTAAATGAGGTAGCCCAAATGAACCACTTGTGAAACGTGTTAAAAAGTACAATATAAAAATAGCGTAACTTGAATTTCAACCCAAATGAAAATCGAGTGCGGAGAGGCGTTAAAAATATAATATAGAACTGCGTAACTTAAACTGGTTCATCAAATATTTGTAAGTAAAAACCACATAAAAATGCAGAATGATAATTTTAGAAATTGAAGGTAGATGGTACGTAAGTTTACTCTTCAGGAAACTAAATCATTGGAACTAAAGAATAGAGATGAGTGCTGAGAGGAGTCTTTGGACGAGACAACTTGCAAAAACGGAAATCTAGAATTTTCTCTCCCAAGCAGCATTACTTTAGCTTGTCGATCTTATTGAAAATATCATCAGGGTATGCATCATAGACTGGAGAAAAATGTTCAGAACAAATACTCGACCACAGAACTAGGCCACGGAACTTGGAGCCTCACCATGCATTCAGCATAATCAAATTCCACAGGTGCTCCATCAATCTTACAACTTACTGGCTTCTCTGATGCAAATACCCTCATTTCCCCATGTCCTCTCAGTTCAATTCTAGCCAAATTTTCCTCTTCATCAAATTCTATAGACAGAATTGAGCCCCCTGAATTCAGCATGTTTACCAATCCAATTGGAGCAAATTGAATTGATTTTTTGGGTAAGACCACCACTGGAGAAACTGTCAAAAGCTCAAAACCAAAAGGCTCAAGTGAAACTTCTACACTCTCTGCACACTTTAGGAGCTTCAACTTGTCATCCTTAAACATGTACACAGCAAATACATCTACCCCTTTGGTGCAGATTGGGTGCTTCCCTTTGCTCCATTCAATGTCTTCAGGACTTGCAAAGCAGGTCACAGAGTGTGAACAATCAGAGGCACTCTTGTTTCGCCTAGTCTCACGGCACCACCCTCCTCCTTGGCAATTAAACAGACCCAAAACCCCAGTATACTGTTAGCAGAAAAAGAAACACAAGAATCAGAATATTGGTTTACAAATTGTTGAGGAAATTGGCATCAATAATATGAAAAGGCACACAGGTTATGTCTTTACTTTGTTGAGGTTCCAAATTTTTAGCATTGTTTTCCCATCATGTAAAGGGTCTTCAAATAAGCAGTCCCTGGTAGGAAGTGCATAGTGCTGACACCGCAAAATGGTGCCATCGGGTAGAATCAGCTTCTTAAGCAACTTGAAGTTGTGCTTTCCAACAGAGTCGCTTACATAAATTGGTCCACCAGAGATGGCACGAGCAGAAGCATGGAATTCAGCACAAGCATGATCAGATTGGAACATGTCCCAATCTGGGTGTATGAAATTTCCCATCCACAAGCTATTGTAGGCACAGTGCACCATGTGACATCCTTGCAGCCAATACGTACCGTTTGGATCTCCAGCTGGGTCCTTGCACCAAAAATCATCACCTGCATGAATGTATCACAATCCACAAGGAATGAATATCTATAAAGTATAAACATTACACAAACATATTTAAAAACCGATGAAAGTTTGCCTCTTATTTATACAACCAAGTGGCTAGTGAAAGTCCTAAGACATACCAACTCGTCCAAGTGATATGGTTTCTGTACCGAGGAACATGAAGTCGTTGCACTGCTGCATGCTAGAAATGACACCATTGCCTTTGAAATGTTTCCTCACGGTAGCAGTGAGCGCATTGTAATATGCTTTGGCGAGTTCAACACGTCCACCATATTCCTCCGATAGCATCTCTAGAATCTGCCACATGCAAAAATACTAATTAGTACTCTGAAATGATTTCTGTTTCTGATTCTTACTATTATGGATTCCGATTTTTGTCCGTTAATTTTGTGAATAGAAAATTAAACCCCGAGTAATAAGTCCAGCTTTCAGCGTGAATGAGAGATCGAAGCCATGTCCATGGAACCAAAAGCAACAATGTTATAGATGAGAAAACACATAAAATAGAGAGAAATAGATGAAAGAAAGTAAAAAATTTGACTTCTATTAACCTTAAGCTCAAAGAGGGGGCGAATCGGAGCAGTGATAGAATTGTTCCTTTACAACTGAAATGTCATGAGTTCTAATTCAGAAAACAGCATCTTTGCAATTATACAAGGATAAGACTATTTTCTTCACCTCACACTCGCTAGTCGGTGTAAAGTCCCGTTCTAGAATTGGTTTGTTAACATTACGTACGGCATAAGCGCAGTTACAATCACAAAATTGAATTAAATACGGATACACTTTTTCGTTATTATTTGTAAACGTGTTTAATTAAAATCAACTTCGTGCTTAAAACAATCCCCACAATGTGATTATAACTTAACTACATGTGGAATTCTTATTGTAAGTCTTACTTCCGCCATACCTTAATACCATAATGTACCAAGTAGTCCGCTTAGACCACCAGGGCTTAAAACTCACTTTTAATGTTCTTAAACGCTAAACGTATACACTCTTTATTCATTTAAGAAATTAATATACTACTCTTATGGTCTCCATTTGTCCAATATATTATATTATTTTTCATTAGCTACGCGTGGGTTCAAACCGCGCTCAAATCGGAACACCGTAGCTCAAGTTACGCATTTTCTAAAAAAATAGGTGCTGAAATTTCCAGGACTCTCACGCTCATAGCGTGAGTCTCACGCTCATAGTGTGAGCGGTCAGAGGGGTTGACGCTCATAGCGTGAGTCTCACGCTCATAGCGTCAAACCTACTGCTGGTTGGCGCTCATAGCGTGAACTTGACGCCAAGAGCGCCACAGTTCTGGAGCAAGGACCAAGAGCAAGGACCAAAATAGGGCAATCTGACCTATCTATGGTATTCTACCCATAACTTGAGTTATACTCATCCAAATTACACAATCTTGGTCTCTATGGAAAGCTAAGAAAAATATCTACAACTTGCATTAAGACACAAGGGTCCAAATCTATCATATAGGATACGAAAATTGGACAACAAGACAGGATATCTTTACTTTTACTTGGATTTTCAACCTAAAGGTCTTCTTTCACCTAATTGACATCATAAAATCTTTTCAATAAGTGGTTCTTAGTTCTTGCAAGGTACATATACATCAAAAGAAACATGCATACCATTTCCTCATATACATATATCCTATAATTACAACATTACATCATTGCAACATGTCTTAATTACAAATCATGGGACTTAGCTACAAAATACTATGACCAATTCCTTGGTTCCCATCAACAAAAGAGACACCAAAGGAGATGAGCATAGGCTAAGTCCATCAGAATAAAACATGACATACACATAACAATTCGAAATGGCATGCAACTCAAAATGTCCAGCTATCAGGTACAATCTACTCATGCTTCTTGCCTCGATCAACCTCACCTCTATCAGTACCTGAAATGATGCCCCACAACACGGGGTGAGATATACAAATATATCACAGTAAACCTAGGACCCTTGGAGATCACTTCACCCTAAGGTTCACTTCCAATGTACATATAATCATAACAGTTTAACACATTCTTATCCATAACCATTACATGGACTTCCAAGAGAGATCCACGAAGGGTTGTTTCTCTTAGGCTCTTACCACATGGAGATCCACATAGGGTTGTTTCCATGGAAAGTCCTTACCTCAATCTAGGAACCCCCAAGAGAGATCCACATAGGGCTGTTTCTCTTAGGCTCTAACCACATGGAGATCCACATAGGGCTGTTTCCAAGGGAAGTTCCTACCAATCATCCTCATCATGGTTCTATCAATTATTACCTCAATCAACATTTACATCTATCAACCATTCCTCAATTACTCTTAAACAATCAAACCTCAATCAATTATCATTAAGCAATCATACTAATTTTCAATGCATGAATCAATGCATGAGCATGCAACAACTATCATCATTACATATCACACCTCATAAACCATTCCTCCTCAATGGAGTATGGTGGAACATTCAAGGGATCAACCCCAAGGTCCAAAGGTTTACCTTGCTCTTGAACTTTCCTCAATGCTTTGCTTTCCTCAATTGACACAACCACAAGGATTGGTCATTCCAATTGGTCCACTTGCTTCAATCCTAACCATACAAGTAGGGTTGTGCATGGGTCAGGTCGGGTCAGGTTTTTGTCCGACTCGACCCAACTTGGTTTTTATAGGTCAGGTATTTTGACCTGACCCGCTTTAATTTGATCCAAGTCAGGTCTGACTTGGATTGGATGTTGTTGAACTAGTTCAGAACCAGTTTGGATCTGACCTGACTTGGTTTCTGAAGTAGGTCTGACTTGGTTTCTGAACTGGGTCAAATCTGACCTGACCCGTTTTTGACTTGGTTTTCTCACAAAATTTTGTCGAAATTTTTACGTTGCAAAAGACGAAAATTTCGTCACAAAATTATTTTTTTGTCGAAATTTTTACAAAAAAAAATTTTCTATTGAAATTTAGTTTCCGACAACAGTTTTGACGAAAATAATTTCTTCCATCAAATGTTTTAAACGAAAAAAGAATTTTGTCAAAAAATTTGACGGAATGTTTTTCGGTCAAAATTTCGATGGGAATGTGTTCTGACGAAAATTTTGACGGAAATTATTTCGAGGGAAATGTTTCATTTGAAACTTTCGACGAAATTTAGATTCTCTAAAGAATTTTCACAGAATATTTTTTTCGTCAAAATGTTTTTTTTGTCAAAAAAATTCACAGGGGTTGGAACAATCAAAACCAAGGGGACCATTCAGTTTATGGATGGGTACTCTTCTTGTTTCAAGTGTGGTAGTAACTGTAACATCCCCGTCTCGAGCCGGTTCAATTAACATATATATGATACTAAACAGAAACAGTGAAAGACTTAACTTACGAAAATACGAGCTAACTTTTTCTTTTTCTTTAATCCTTTTTCACATGATATATCACATTACATACTTCTTCCAGTTTAATTCTTATTTGACGGAGACAAAAATCGGACAGAGTGACATCTATAAATCGAACAAATGGGGATTTGCAAATCCCACTCTCAACGTATCCTTATAAACAGTTTATACAATATATGATTTTAGAAATACCAGATATCCATATAGGACCATATACCCATCCATGGGGCATGCACAACTTGGCTCTGTGCCACTATGTCTAACAGCATGCAAATCCAACATGTAATCATATAATTAAATACTACATCATAATATAAACATGCCTGAATACACAATTGTACATGCATCAAAGCGAAAAATATGTACAGAACATATACAAGCCATACACAAAGTAACGAATCAGACATCATGATCCAACAAAATAAATGGAATACTAATGCAAATCACAATCCTCCAAAATAATGGTAGCAGACTGCTACCCAAAATTTCGGTCAGCGATGCACTCTATCCACGGGTTGTATCCCTGCCCCGTGTAGGCTCTCCGGCAATATGTGCACCTGAAATGATATCCCAAACGTGGTGAGATAACAAATCTCGATAAGCTCCAGGTTTATAGAGAATTCTCCATACCCCTGGGCCAACTCCTGCATGAGAGTCAGATACAGAGTATACAAAATATCATATAACAGATATCATAATAGAACAAAACATATATATACATATCTTGTCAGAGGCGTACGCAGTCATTCCCAAGGGAGGACCCCAAGCGGAAATCAACACACGTATTCCCAAGGTAGGACCCCAAGCGGAACCAGAACATATCAGAGGTGTACACAGTCAGTCTTGAGGGAGGACCTCAAGCAGACATCAGTGCACATACAATCAATGGCCAAAGATCAATACATAAATCACATCAGAACAAATCATATCATGTTATCAAATAGCTCTATATGAATGCATCTATACAAAGCATCAAATACAATCATACAATCCAACCATAGTCTACTAACCATGGTGGAGCACTCAGGTAGGAAAAGACTCATTAAACATAGAGCTTAACTTTTGAAGCTTTACCAATTTGCTCATTTGTACCACAAGTTAGCTATTTAGCTCCAAGGAAATCCAAAGACGATTAGTCCCTAGGCACACCTAGAGAAAGAATCTGAAACAAAACACAATAAAATATGCCATGTAATTACAAGACATACACTTTATTATTTACTTTTATTTCTTTACATTTATGCCAATCCTATGCCAATTCACAAGTCAAGACCTTAATTTCTTAAACTCATTATTTAAAGCATTTACGGATGATTACTCGCAACACAAGCAACCACCTTGTTTCACATTTACATTAGAATGGCCCAACTTAAGCTTCTAAAATACCTTTTACCACCTTTATCAATTCCTAGCCCCCAAAATCATACAATGGCTGAAGCCAAAACCAGTTTTCTTTTTTGCTTAATCATATTAGGCCATGAGTGAGTGGTTCATTGTTCAACAAATTTCCACATAATTTCACATATTCACCTAGTCTTAGGATAGTCGCAAAAGACCTTCAGAACACTCATTACCACTCTTAGCATCTTAAAACCTATTTTTTCCAATTTATGGCAGAGTACCCATTACAAAAGAGCTATAAGATTTCTCTCTATCTAGTGCCTAAACCCAAGCTTAGCCATCTATATAAATTATTTTACGCATAAAAGTGTTCTCACTTTGCGAAACAGTAACTCCGAATGTATACCTCCTTTGAAAATGGCTAAAACTCATTTTAAGGCCATGCAAATAAGATACCTTATTTTCTTTTTTATTTCACCAAAGTGAAGGTTCATACACCTTAGAATATTATTCCACGCATAAAAGTATGCTCGCTTTGCAAAACAGTAACTCCTAGCACATACCTCATTTGAAAATGGCTATAATCACATATAAGACCCAAAGAAGGAACTTATTCATTTTTCTTTTTATCTAACCCAACTAAAGGTTTAAATATCTAATCATATGGTCCTTAGACCATATAAGTGCTCACTAGCACAAACAAGCACTCTTAAAACATACTTCTTTTGTAAACGGCTAAGAGGCACATAAAGAAAACCATGTCAATTTCATGATTCCAATGTTTTAGTCCAACTTTCGATACATGACTTAGCCTTCTTTAATTCATTAATTAAGTCTACAAATAACCTCAGCCCCTATTTCAAAGACACTAGGTCGATACACATATAAAGAGGAAAACAAGATTTCATTTCATTTTTCAATCATTGAATCATTGTCCAATCAATTCCAATGCATGTAAGAGTTATCTTAACCTCATTAAATCCTTATAAATTCACTTCCACACCCTTTGTCATGTCTAGGGAAGATTTACCTTGATTTAAATCTCGCTAAAATCTTGAAACCTACAACCATTTCATCACTTAATTCATCATAGTTTTAATTCTACTTTTAAGATTCCTCTTGGACAATTTTACGAACACTTGGTAGGCATATTTTTACACCCCATGGCTGAACCATA